GCGAAGTCGCCACCTTTCAAGCTGAAATTGTGAATGGTTAATTATTGTTTGCAATAGCAAAAGAGAACAGTAGGAAGCTGACCTTGCGCTGCAGGGCGCGGCCGGCAAGCTCTTTCAGCTTTGGCGGTTCCAGCTGAAAGTTGCTGACGAATTGAGCAACAAGTGGGTTCCCACGAAGCGTCAGCTGTGCCAGGTTGCGCAACTTTACGATGCCGGTGGGCAGGGTCTGAAATTGAACGTTTGAAAAGTCAGACAAAGGTAGAGGGCGGAAACTGTTTGTTCTCGTTTTCTCGCCCACCCGAATTCGGTTATTGTGCAGCGACAATATCTCGAGCTCCTGCAGCTCGGCGACGGTGCTGGGCAGCGATTCGAGCAAATTATCACTCAGGTTCAAATTGGACAGCAGACCGAGCAGCCCGATTGTGGCCGGGATCTCGACGAGACGGTTGCCGCCGAGGTAGAGTAATTCGAGACTAAAATAGAGGTGAATCTCCAAATGTCATTTCTCACCTTACTAGAGACCCGATGCCGTGTGGGATTTCTGGAATTTCATTGGCGCCGAGCTGAAGCTGACGAAGGCGTGGCATGTTGAGGCACGGGGTGGGGAATGCGGTCAGACGGTTCCCAGCTAAATTCAACGATTCCATCTCGACCAATGCGGCCATTGTGCCCGGCAACTGAAACCGGTGGGTCATTGTGAATAATTCGTATGATTTGATTCACAATAAGTGAACCGCCGTTTCCAACCTCTTCCAACAAATTGTTTCGTGCGATCAGCGTCCGAATCGACCTCAGCGCGCTAATTTCTTTCGGTAGCTCGACGAGTTGGTTGTTGCTCAGATCGAGGCTACAATTTTGGGCTTTCATTATCGCCGAATGGACTTACAAAGTGACATTTTTAAAGGCACGAATCTCCCGCGCACACAATAACCGATTTTTCGACAAGTTGAGCGCGGTGAAGTTGAGCGGGGTGTAGAGGCCTTGCTCTTGCACGTAGCGTTCCGGAATCACGTCGAGGTCGAGCTCTTGGAGATTGAGTTCGGAGAAGTAAGAACTCAAAAAAAACTTGGTTGAAACGGTGGATCATTTACAAAGCACATTTAAACACCGTCACCTTCTCTTTTACGACGTTGCTAACTCATGGAAAAACAAGTCTAATGAAGCTCTATACTTACTTTGAAGTGCCCGGTTCATCATGTTCTTCACCAAGCGAATGGTCGGAATCATAAACTTCAGGTCGCTTGTCGTTAGATTTCTGTCCGGCAAACATACTAAAAATATTGACATATTGAACGCGACTCCACATGTTTGGAAATATGTGAAATGGGAGGCAAAAGGCTGCAGTAAGTCAAAACGACCGGTCCATTAAATTGTAAAGTAATACAACAAAATGTTCAGGAATATTTTCTGGTACTAAAATCAAGATAAAATAAAAAGATAAAATAAGATAAAATATAGATGCGATAAAGCAAGCGGGTTGCCTTGTCTAACAGTAAAGTTTTTTTTGATCAGGATGGAAATTCGTGACCAAGCCTACCTTGTGCAGAATTTTCCGCTGATTCCGAATACGATTTCCAAAACTGCAGAATAACTCGGATTCAAAAGTTATGAAGCATTTAGGTGCGGCTTTCGGCCTCCGGGAGGCCATTGCCCATGCCGCCGTCCTTTTTTGTTTTACTTTTCTAACTGATTCCCATACAAAAAATGGAGGCCATCGTCAAATTTTTCGATTTTCGACAATTTTGAGTTAAGGAGCTCATCCGATAGAGAAAAAAATTCTGAATAAAATGACAATAATCTTTTTTAGCAAAATCAATCAGGAAGATCAAAATAATTGAGCATGAAATTCTCCAATTTTTGCTTAAAATGGACTGAAAAACGTCATAAATTTTGAACCAGAACTATTCTGCAGATTTGGAGGTCCAATCGGAATCAGTGAAAAATTCTGCACAAGATAGGCTTGGTTCCGAACCGAATTTCGATCCTGACCAAAAACACTTTACTGCAAGATTAAACCTATTTCCATCAATATGCAATATTGAAGGTTTTTCGACAAAACGGGTAATTTTTCAACAGGAACCAGGGTTGAAAAGCCGCTTCGCGACTTTTCAACCCTGGCCCCGTCTAACCCCATAAAATTCTTCGCTTTGCATATTTCTTTCGAATTACGATGAGAAAAAATGAAAAATGACACTCTCTGCCTGATTATATAGGCTACCGTCACGTCCGGTGCATGCAAATTGTTTCCTAACAGAGAGGGTGGCCGAAATTTGTATATAAACTGAAATTTAATATTTAAAACAATTAGTTTTGTAAAATCTGATAAGCGTGCAGTCATCCCAGAGCCATTACGGATCTAATCATGCATCATAATCGCGTCGCGGCTTTTCAACCGTGGCCCTGTCTATCCGCATAATATTCTTCTTTCTGCATCCGTCTCTCGAATCCCGATGAGAAAAAATGAAAAATGACACTTTCTACCTGATTAAATAGGCTACCGCCACTTCCGGTGCATGCTAATTGTTTCTTAACAAAGAAGGTGTCTGAAATTTTTACAAAAACTGAAATTTAATATTTAAAACAATTAATTTTGTAAAATCTGATAAGCGTGCAGTCATCCCAGAGCCATAACGCATCTAATGATGCATCACATATACCTTAAAATGCGTTCCCTATCGAGATATCCTCCGGACATGGTGACGGAAGCTGCATGCAAAGTATCACACACACACACACACACACACACACACACACAAACACTATTTTTTTATATATAGTAGGATAGTAGCATATAGTAGGATTTAGCAATTAGCATGCGGATATATTGTTTGCATAAATCAGCAGTTTTCATGGTTTTGGACATAAAATTCGCCATAAAAATACATAATAAAGAAAATTCATCCTCCTTGTTTTCTCGCCTTTTTGAGTGCTTTCCATAGATACCTAAATCGTACAAATCGGACTTGGCGGACCGCTAAGTGGGGCGGTGGGATTTGGGACACCCTGTATTAGAAACATAGAGGAATTTATAAAGAAGTATCTAACAGTAAGGGCGCCGTGTCGCGATTGGTGTGATGGTGAGTGAGGGCAGCCAAGTGGTGACAGGGTTGCGCTTATAGATGATAGGGATGGGGAGAAGACGAAAAAGGGCCGGGGACGCCCTCCCTCGCTCACTCTCCCCCCTCCCATCCCGACCGCCCCCCCCCCACACACACACCTGTATATCACGTGGCTCATTTCCCAAAGCAGAGACACAGCCAAGACTACGGTCACTGCCCTATAAATACTACAATCACTAAAAACTACACCCTGTTTTGATGACCGTCCTGTTCGCAACTCGCATACGAGGGGCACGTCATTCAAACTTTGTTGCCATAACGGACAGGGCTGTACCAGATCATTTCAGTCACTCCTTTGGAGCACCAGGAAAATGATACACGCACCGGTTGGACGTTTTTGAAGATGCTTAACGGCACCCAGAAATCTACTCGCCACACGCCTCACGGCGTTGATGCCTGGCAAATAGCCAGATGTGACGGCAACGTGACCGCATGTCCTTTTGCCCCGGCTTGGACATTAAAACGTTTGAATTCAAAAATTCAGCTGCTATTTCTGGAATCCTTATCAAATTGCAATTATTCTAGACGTTTGATACTTTATCGAATTTCACGCCCAACCACTCACGAATGTGGCCGGCGCTTTCGCAGGAACGGTCATTGGGCGCATCGTAGTAACGCACCGCTGCTTGGGCGCTGTTGTATTCGTAACTTTTTGACCTTGTTGCGTGGTAAATTAGCTCACGACGCTGATAAGGAATGACAAGCATTCAAAACGGGTAAGGCGCGCCAGACATTAGTGTGCTACTATTCAAAAAGACCCATTACATCCGCGCAGGTGCGTTTCGTTCTTAGCACTCATCGCATCGGTTTCATACGGTAGCATTCCATTTCAAATCTATATACTGGTATCGAATTTAATTGTGATGCTAAATCCAATGCGCGGGAAGTGGCGGTCATTTCAAGGTCTATATGCATAGGTCTCGCCTGTAACGAGGTTTCACAGGCGCATCTCTTATATACGAGACGGATGCCTGAGACTTTGCCAAAATATTCGTTCCGACAAAACTCAGACAGCATTTATGAAGCCATTCTTCTCCCTGTCTCCCCCGCGGAACGTTCATTGGCGGGCTACCGTACCCCCCTTCATCGGGCTGTCTCTGCGTAGGGGCTTTCAATTAGTCTGTCGTGAGAGATTTTGATCCCGGCGCCCTTTGGACCCTTGGGAAATGAGAATGGTCTTTCCCCACCCGGTGCATCCCTGTGCGTTATCGATTGTGGCGCTTCAGTTGTGACGCAGATATCGATGGATGAGCTAGCTTTTTCCATAACCGGGTTATGCTTAAAGTACTTTCAGTATCCGGGTAAGGTACTGTGTATTAAAGGTACACTAAAATCTCGTGCAAAAAAATAAGGTCGCGGTCGGGAATTCGGGCTCTTTGCCGCCGAACGTCTGGACCCTTCTTATCCCCTCCCCTCTCCCATCTTCAGTCTGTCCCATGGCCTTGTGGTGGAAGACGTTTGCCCCAGGCGAATGGCGCTGGTTCGGTTTTGCTCCGCGGCGAGCCCCTACCGCAACGCTGTTTGTTATCCCGCGGACGGTTACCGGCCGGTATCCAACCCAACGAGGCTTTGGTGTACCCTTAAAGGGGCTCTTTCCGCAGCGCCGTTTTTTTCATAAATTGTGGAAAAATTCCGATGCATTTCCGGTTAGAGAGCATGCCCATTGAGACAAACATCTGGTATGCAAATTTTTCCACGATTCATGGAAAAAAAGCTGCTGAAAGTGCTCCTTTAAAGCAATAAAGTACTTCCAATACGTTTTAAAATTTATACGAAACCCCAAAGAACATCGATCCCAAATAAAATCCCCCACACCAGTAAGAATGCGCAAATTGTGTTGTCGTTTGGATGTCGCTTTATGTGTGTCGCTTCGCGTGATTAGGCGCTCTTCGCAATCTTTGGCGCGTCGAGTTCCCGATATACCTGAAAACGGAAGTTGTTTTGATTTGGAGGTTCTCCATAGGCACCTCTTGATGGTTGAGAACCTCATGGATGTAGCGGAAACGACCATCGGCCGAGAAGTCGGCGACCGCATGGCCTTCGCCGCGCAAAATCCATTTTGTCGTCAGGAGACCTGAAAAAACCCAATTTTATTTTGAAACACGGCACGGCGTCTATTTTACCAATTTGTTTTCCCATATATTTTTGCGCTTACCTTCAACGCCAACCGGTCCTCGTGCATGAATTTTTCCCGTCGAGATTCCAACTTCGGCCCCTGTAAATTGTCAGAAAGCGATGGCCGCATGCATGTAATGCTAAAACTTTAGCGCCATAACCCTTACCGAGGCCGAAACGGTAGCCGTCGGCAAATCTGGTCGAGGCGTTGTGGAATGCGCATGCGCTGTCAACATGTTGCACGAAGTGCTCGGCCGTCTCGCCTATATGAGATTTCCCGCAAGAACTGAAGGCCTTACGGTTATCCGTGATTATTGAGTCGGTGTGACCCGATCCATATCGGATGATATGGGCGACGGCCTCCTCGACGTTGTCTACAATCTGGAATGCGAAAGGGCATGTTGGTCCAAGTCTGTAGCGTTTGGTTGTGTATCCCATTAGGTTTGATTTTTCAGGCTTTTCGACCTCTTACACATCACAGAAATTTAAATTCAGTCGGATCCGTCATCAACCCACCTCGATTGTGCACTCCAGGGCACCGTATTCAAACGAGAGACTCTCAGCGGCTGGTGGGCCGAACTTCAGCATGGATTGTAGCTTCGGGCCCGCGTGTAACTTGACTCCTTCGCTCTGAATTATTTATAATCGATACAAGTCCATCAAAGGCTGCGATGTCCTTTGAATATGCCTTCAAGACTCTCAGCCCCCATACACCTACCTTAAACATGCCACACAGCTGATCGAAAAAGTTAGTCGACATCAGGTCCTTGTGGACGAGGATGGTCTCGGCGGCATTGCAGGCCGATGGGTAGTCGCACTTTGAATCGCGTACAACGCGTAGGGCCATCTAATAAATCATCTACAGGGTGTACCAAAAATCCACCCGCGCCCCTCTAGCCGATCGCAGAAGTGTCCGATCTTTAGTATTTAGGTATTTATCCAAAGCTTTCAAAAAGGCGAGTCCAGCACGTCACTCAGATTTTTGATCGAAATTTCTTTGCACGACTTCCGGAATTTTTCATGCAAAAAGAACACGACTTTTTGTAGCAACTCAATTTAACCGGTTTCAGCGCCATCCAAGTTGTGTTTTTGCAAGCGGTTTTCAAGAAGCTGTGGTACGGTTGCCAGGAAAGGCGTAAAAAACATTCAGATCTGATTTAGGCAAAAAACCTCCTGGTCAGAAAAGACCAGAAAATCCGCCGCTTTCGTAAACCTATTAGTAAACGATAGAAAGGTTTCAAGATTTTGTGAATCAGAAAGACGTGCCGGGCTCGGCTTTCCGAGAGCTTTCGATAGATCGCAAAGTACGGATACGTGTGCGGCCGGCTAGAGGTGGTATTATTTTTTGAGGCATCCTGTATTGGATAGGAATCATTAAGGTGGCCGTAATAATGTACAAATGCTATACCTCAGCGTCACAGTCCTTATCAATGTAGACGTGGCAGATACCTTCAGCATGACCGAGTACAGGGATACCCTTAAAATCGTGATTAAGGTCTAACGTTAGCGAATATCACCTTGCTCTGCTCCTGCATGGCGCGGACGAGCTCGCCAGAACCGCGCGGGATTACCAGGTCGATCAGATCCTGAATACAGACTTGCGGCCGTGCTATTACGGGGCTACCTTCAGTTGGAGAAGATCTGCGACGTCCTCGCGACTTCGGACAAGCGTCACAGCATCTCTCATGTCGTATCCATGCGTTCCTAAAATTTTTTTGAGAATTTAAGGCTATAAAGGCTGTCAAGCTACTTGCTGAAAAAAGTTCTTTGAAAAATATCGCTCTTACCGAGGGCTTCCTGAACAATCGAGTGCAGCATCTTGTTTGATTCATCGGCTTCCTTACCGCCCTTCAGCAGCAAGGAATTTCCGGACGCCATTGCCAAGGATGCAACCTATATAAATTGTAATTGAGTTTATCGTTGATACCTGAGGTAAGCAGTCGGGGCGGCTTTCAAAGATGACCATCAACGAGCCGATCGGGACCGTGACTTGCTCGAGGTAGAGGCCGTCGGAGACTTTCACCTAATTTCGGAATTGGCAGTGCAATGTTAAATCTTGCGATGTTGTTGTTTGAACCAACCTTTCTCAAGGAGCGACCAATGAGTGTTTCCGCCGACTCGGCAATCATATGCAGCCCGCTGTGAAGGTCGTTAAGCTTCGCCTTTGTTAGCTTCAAGCGGTTCAGAAGCTGCTGGTCGAGACCTGAAAAGGATAGTTTGGGTTTGTCAAACGATTTGGGATAGACATAATATAAAAGAAAAAACATGGCTTGCGTACCACTTGATTGAGCAGCCTGAAGGTCCAGCCTATTCGCCTCCATAATGTCATTTTCACGGGCGACAAGCAGACCAGCGAGGTGGCGAACCATTTGCGCTCGCTCCTGGTTCGTGAGAGCATTTAGGTTGCGCCCCGAATCGCGACCTGAAAAGCAAAAAAAATGGACTTGCTGAGAATCAAAAATAACATTAATTCGAGACAACTCCGGTTTGTCGCCATCGCCAAAATAATTTTTAATGAATCAATTAATGAATTCATCAAATTTAATTTTGTCCTAATAGGATTTTTGAAATTTCAAGAATCGAATTTCGAACTCTAAAATGTAAAAAGCCTAGCAAAATTTATATTCAGCAAGGAGCAATTTTGAAAAATTGGATTTCAACATTTTAGTTTCGACAAGGTGAAAATACCACATCTGACACTCCTTACATTTCATAGCGAGCTCCTCGACGGGCGGTCCTTCGTAGCGATGCGTTCGCGCAAACATCGTTCCAATCTACAAAAGGAGATTGGCTATTTCTATTTGATGAAACGATCAAATATTGCAGAACTAAACTCTAACCCGAAAAAAATATTTTTCTGGCTTTTGACAGGGAATACCAAAAACCAAAATATTGCATTTATTGTGATTTATTTATGATTTTTTGTAAATTTAAGCTAAAAATTGGTATTTAAGGATATATTGAAACAAAAACGTACCTTCTTGCCTTTGACGGTGTTGGTGATTGCGTCCTGGGCCAATCCATTTGTGATCACCGTCGTCACGCCATTCTCTAGCGCTTTGATGCACGATTGGACCTAAATTTACTCGGTTACGCTAGCAAAACGAACTCTCAGTTACCTTGCTCTCCATTCCCCCGGTCCCAAACTTGCTGTTGGAGCCAAAGACAACGTTCGCACTTTCCTGGGGAACGAAGGTGTGCAACAACCTTGACCCTTCCATATCCGGTGGACCTAGGCATGCTGGTCTTTATTCTCTTTTTCCAACGAACCCGTGAAGACACCGCTGACATTCGAAAGGATCAGAAGAAGATCGGCCTCGATCTCCGCGGACAGACGTGCCGCCAACTGATCGTTGTCCGAGATGTGCTAAATTCGATAAAGTTTTCTGGAAAGCAGAATTCCGTGCCTGTGCGAGTTTTGGATCGGGGGCCACGGCGTCGTTTGCATTGACAATGGGGATGATGTTGAGTGACAGTAGGCTTTCGATCGTCGCCACCAAATTCTTCCGTCTTTGCGGATCATCGATATCAGGCTTGGTGAGTAGTACCTGCATCGGGATGTATGCATTTTCTTTATACAGCAAAGCAGATTGAGTCGCATTTGCATTTCACGCTTCTTAATGGACAAACAGATATTTTTAGATTACTTCCTAAGCATAAGAGTAAGTCTAAGCCTAAGCCTAATCCTACCCAAACCTAAGCACAAGCCTAGGCTTAAGGCTAAGCCTAAGCCCAAGCCTAACAAGCCTAAGTATACGTACAATTTGAACGTTTGTTTAGATCGCAGTTATCCCGAGAAAAAACAAGACACCTCACCTGAGCCACAGTGATCCCGTATTGCTGAAAGAGCTGCTCGTAGAGACTCATCAAACCGGGCATCCCGGAAGCGGCACAGGCCCGCTTGTCTGCTGCCATGCCCGCCGTACCCCTGCCCAAAAGGGTTAGGGAACTGTGGCACGGGACTTACCGCTTCAGCGTTTGGCGCATGCTCATGCTCATCACCAGCTCTTGGCGCAACTTTTGGCGTCCAAATGCCACGGCGCCCGACGAGACGATCAACATCTGGCGGCCGCTTTGTTGCAACTCGGAGACCTGCTCCACGACGCTTGCCAGGCGGCCTAGGGCCAGCCCGCATTCATCATCTCTAAAACGATTAGGGTATAATACTGAATTTTATGGATGCGCCGTTTTAAATCTTCATCAAATACCTAGTGATGACAGCGCTCCCTAATTTGACGACAATCCGTTGCGCTTTCTGCAGATCGGCCCGTGTGTTGATTCCGGAATTTCGGGATCGATTTTTGGTACTAAAGCGGCAAATCTATGAGAGCTACGAAATTGTCGTGCCTGAAATTTCCATTGTTATCCCCAACTGGCACACTCCCGACTTTGTGCAGCGGCGCAACCTGCTAACATTTGGTAGTATTAAGTGGAATTACGATTTTTCCAACTTCCTGCACAACCAGCGAGGATCCGAGGCGCAGCTGACGCCGCGATGCAACGATCGAATTCCGTTTAAAAACTGTCACCGCGCCGCGACAAGCACGAAACATCCCTGGAAAGAAGAACCGGAATGTTTTGTTCGAAATGTTTGTAAGGGAGGAGGGGAGTGACAAAAAAAAGTAATAAAAAATTTGATCTGAGAGGCCTTCGCAAGTTGCAAAACTAAAAATCGTTTAAAACGGCAGCTTGAAAATTATTTTTGTTAGTTTGAATCGCACTAAAAACAAACGAAGAAATCTGCGGAGATATTGGTTATTGAGATGCGATTAATTGTGATAGCAAATTAATGTAAAAAACACGAATATACAGCGGCTTCACTCAACACCGGGTAATAAGGAGAAGTTCAACGGGCGGGCAAAATTCATCTTCCTGCACCGGCACCGGGGCAATTCGTTTGCGCATATATAAGAACAATAGTCGTGGGAGTTGGCATCGAATAAGCGACAAGCGTGCCGTTTCATCATTCTTATGCGCCTCGGGGCAGAGAATCTGCAGTTCGGTGCTGCGAACGGACAGGTTTCCGTTGATTGATTCGGCTTTTGCCTAGCACGTGGCGTGGTATTTTGAAGGCTATCCAAGATTGCAACTATATATGGGTCGGGGCCTGCGGGCGCCGCCAAATGCCCCTCTCGAGGAGCCTTTTGGGGGCGTCTTGGGTGGGGCCGGCGGCCGCCGTGGGTGGGGCATTTTCCGGTATGCAGCGATGCAAATTGCGAAAAAACGCTTTTCAGATGACTTTTTGCAATTTACATCGCTGCATACCGGAAAAATGCCCCACCCACGGCGCCCGCCGGCCCCACCCAAGACGCCCCCAAAAGGCTCCTCGAGAGGGGCATTTGGCGGCGCCCGCAGGCCCCGACCCATATATAATTGCAACGCACCATATTGTAATGACCAATCATCCGTTTTTGATTCACAATGAAGGAGGAGCAAGAGCAGTGGTACCGAAAAGCAGTAAAAATTCGGTTCCATGGGCAGTTAGACCTACCAAGATAGAGCTTTTTTATTTGTGACCAGGGTTGAAAAACCGCTTCGCGGCTTTTCAACCCTGGACCCGTTCAGGACATCTGAAAATTTGACTTTACATAGGGCTTGCCGAATGCCGATCACCAAAAAATGAAAAGCGCACCCTCCCTCCCTTTTTATAGGCTACGGCCACTTCCGGTCAACGCTAATTGCCTCCTAACAAAGAGGATTTTCGATATATTTACAAAAACTTAATTTTAATAGCGAAAACAGCCGATTTTCTTAAATTTTATATGTGTGCACCCATCTCGGGACCATTACGCACCTAATGACGTATTATACGTACCTTAAAAACCTTCCCCTGAGGCTGTAGGTGCGGTACATACTTACGGAAGTTGCATGCAAATATACACACACATAGACACTATTTTTTTATATATAGTAGGATTAGCGTCCAAAATAGAATATCCAGCTGCAAGTGTGGTGCTATTAAATCGAAAATTCAACAACGTCCAAATAAAGACACTTGGCGCTACGGTTTTGCTTTACCCCCCAGCCGAAAGGTTTTGGCTATAACTTTTTTACATTATTGTAAGCTCAAATTTAAATTCTTGCTATATTTTTGACGCTCTATCGAATGGCGTTGTAAAAATACCGACAAAATAAACGGAAATACCGAAAACCATACGACCCTTCGGTTGTGGGGGGTAAACTAAAGCCTTACCAAACATTTAAGCAGATAAAACCAGCTAAGGTATAGGACCTATTTCCACGCAAAACATGTAGACTTCAAAAGTCGAAGCTATGCCCCCGGGCGGGGTCAGGCTTATCGCGACAATGTTTTCAGGAAGGGCCGGTGCTGGAAGGGCAGCAATAGATCGGGCGGTCAGTCGGCACCGACAGGATCCATAGCGCCTTTCCAGCCCCCCCTTTCTCACCACGCCGGTCAAACTGGATTGGCGAGGTTGAACAGGGTGATAAGATATGATAACTGAGGGTCCACTGGGTACATTGCCCATCTCAGATCACCCCCTGCGAATTACCTGGGGCTACTGATGTAAGGAGATCAAAAAACCAAAAGGATTTGTAATTTATTTCCTGTGTCATAGGAAAGCAACATCAGGGTTATGTCCAACTTTAATTATTTAGTTACCTACCGAAACACCTGAAAAGGTGAGAAAACGAGCAGTTTTCGTTTTTTGATTAAGGGTTTAATTGTGCATTTTCACGACTGAAAATTGTGGAAAGAGCTGATTTATGCGAGATCCGCATGTTAATTGCAATATCGGCGCGGGAAAACACGCGTTTTTAGCAAGACGAGTAATATCAAGCAATGCAAAATAATTCAAGCAAACGAAACGCGCTTGTTTTCTCACCATTTCAAGGCCTTTCGAATTGTGTAAAAACCATCCCCATCCGAGCTTTCTCCGGCCCTCTAGGCAGGGGGATTTTTTACGGATTCGTGGTGGATGGACTTCCCTCACACACGAAGAGCAGAATTTCTGCATCTGGGGGCCTACTCGACCGACGAACAATTATTAAGAAATTTTTAGAATCTACATACTACCCAATGTACTGTGTCATTTACGAATCTCACGTGCGTACGCGTACGTCCACACCACAGGTTGGGATTCAATTTTCGTACGAAATCCGGACCAGGCGAACCGGTTACTCGCAGCACCGAGCACAGCTGAGAACACCCGGCAAAAGCCGTCAGCCTTGGCATAACACGGCGGGAAGTCTCTCTTTCGTGACGGCGGGGCAGCACAAGGCCTTCCATCCCCCACCAAGGCAAAAGCCAAAGGCGAAGGTTGTTGTGTGGGTTCTGCCATATCGTCATCGCCATGCTACGAGCTAGCCTTTTTGCCCTTCTTTTCATCGCCACCACCACCTCTGGCCAGTGAGTTCAGCACCAAAAAGCCGTGGCGAATTGATTGAAAAATGACAGTTTTATTGGATTCAGTGTTAGCCATTCGTTAACACTTGGTTGGCAGTATTTTATGAAAATGCACCTCGTACTGAGAAATGCATCAACTGAGCATTATATCTTTGATTTTTGTCTTTTAGAAATGATGGGCAACGTTTCCAAAGCATGCTAAAAGGGTTTTTCAAGCTGTCAGCGAACTATCCATTGACCCCCGCATGGCGATCTAACTACAACCAGGTATCGCATCCGCTCGTATAACCAAAATTTATCAAATTTATCGCAGCGATCCGTCATCTATCGCATGAAGGATCGGACAGAATATTCGGCCAACCATAAAATTCTAAACGACGTTTTTGAATCCGACATGGTGCTGACCCCATATCAGATGGAGGACGTTATCGATACTTTTCGTGCAAGGGTTGAGGGTAGGTAACCTTACACATAGTGTTTGAAAAATCGACCTCCCTCAGCGGCCCGGAAACAGGTCGGATGATTATTTTTATGCCATCCCACAGCCATCGAAACGGCGAGAAAAAAGCGCCTTTCGTCTTCCAAAGTTTTTAGCCCGCTCTCGATATTCAAACGATTTTTTGAAGAAAAAAAACGTAAAATCGGCGTCGCGGTGTTAACGTGAGCAAGTAATTGATATTCGAATTGATGTTGCAAAAAATTTACAGTTTTTCATGGATTTTGCTCCTAAAATTGGTGAATTCAATGGCTATATTATGCTTAGGCTTAGGCTTGGCTGTCTGGTGCTTTCTGGTTCTGGTTGGGGGTCGATTTTTTTGGGACCCCTGCAGTGGCGTAAGTTTACCTTGAGTTTAGGGCGACCAAAAAGGGTAAAAAGAAACGCAGCGGCGGTGAATGAAAAACTCCGCTGGCCCAACAGAACGATTCCTTTTGAGTTCAAAGATCGAAAAGATGGTAAGTTTAATAATAACAATTTTGGCAAAAAACTTTTAGGCAAATGGGTCACCCTATTAATGTCCGGTATGGAAAAATGGTCTCGTGAGACTTGCATAAAATTTGTCCCCCACTCCAACGAACGCGATTTTGTGACGTTTTTCCGAGGAGGCGGGTAGGATAGTTTGATTGAGCGATTTATCATACCTTGTTCATCGAATCTATGCTTCGAGCTTTCAGCTGTTATTCGAACGTCGGCCGCACCGGCGGTAAACAGTACATCTCCATCGGATTTGGCTGTGATGGGGTGAGGAAAGGAAAATGTCTTTTTTTACTGTTGTCGACACTTGCTTGGTCTAGAGTGGGATTGTGGCTCACGAACTTGGTCATGCGATCGGCTTCTGGCACGAGCAGAGCAGGCCGGATCGCGATGAATACATCAACCTCAACAATGACAACATCATCAAAGGTACCTATGTGGGTTACTCTTGGATTCAAAGGGCTTCATAAAAGTTCTTTTCATTCTCACCATTTTTTAGGGAAATTTCGAGAAACGCACTGATCTTGATACAGCCGATGTACCGTACGACTTTGGTTCGGTGATGCATTATGGTGTGTATTGCCATAGCTAATTCACATTGAACATTTGATTAGCGATCATATTCCCGGATTTTCATAATCTCGAATTTTCATAGTATAAATCAACATTAATATTAATTTCACGCCTACGCCCTGTACCCAGCCTATCCAACTTTCGAAATTCTGAAAATTCTAAGTTATGAAAATTCGAGATACTGAAATTCGAGATTTTGATAGATTTCCTGAATCATTTAGGTCCACAAGCGTTCACGAACAATTGGAATTATGTGACGATTGAGACGAAAGATCATCGCTTCCAGCACACGATCGGCCAAAGGGCCGATATCTCCTTCATTGACGTCAAGCACGCGAATCGGCTGTATTGCTCCGGTTAGCGGGATCCAGTTAACGGGCATTGCCTGCAAAGCATATTGCAATTTCACCGATATCAACTGAAATTTTTATTGCAGGAATTTGCCAAGTTAATCTACACTGCCTTAACGGAGGCTATGAAGATCCACTCAATTGTCAAACATGTAAATGCCCACCAGGACTCGGAGGGCAACGATGCGGTCATGTCGCGGTTAGTACCGGTTTGCGCAGTTTGCATTCTTTGTACAAATATGCCTTCCCCCATAGCTGGGTGCGGGGGTGAGTTGATTGCCGGAGCAACTTGGAATCTGTTGACGTCAAGACAAATTGGGACCTGTCATTGGAGGATTTTGGTCTGTGAAACAACTAGGCTTCACCTGTATCTAAGGCGCCACTTGGGCAAAAGATTCGCTTCGAGATCATCGAGGCCAAATATAAGTGCGATTCGTCTTGCGCCGAGAATTACCTGGAAATCAAACACCAGCGCGACATGCAACAAACTGGCTTCCGGTAAGAATGGCAGCAAAATGGCTGATTTATAGAATTGAAAGGCTTTCATCGCTTGCGAAAAATCTCGCGGTCCGAGTGAGGGCTCCCCGACATTTGCGGCCCGACAGATGCGGCCCGACCTATTAAGCTCGCTTTTCCCCAATATAAAGTTAAAAAGAGGGTTAGTAAGAGTCTAGAGCATTTTCAGGCAAGGCGGGCCGCCGCTTTGGATGGGCTGCCGCTTCACTCTTTCGAAATCGCGGGCCGCTACGCGCGCCTCGGGCGCCCCGATTTCGAAACCCTGTACGAGCTCGCACCCATCCGAAGCGACTAACCCCGGGTGGCACGAAGCCTTATTTTTAGGTCAAGACTAAGGGACAAGCGATCAAACCCCGTTTAGAAAACTAGCCTTCCGGACGTTTAAAAGCTTCAGTTTTGGGTAATTACTACAGCTTTGGGCCGCAGTTGTCGGATGTCGGGCGCAAGTGTCGGGCCGCAAATGTCGGGCCTCAAGTCCGTCGTGTCGCAAATGTCGTGGCACCCTGAGTGCGCGTTATCCCACCTTTCAGGCAGTGCTGCAATGCAGCACCTGGGGTCATCGTCTCCGAGGGAAATCAAGTCATCATCACATCTGTTGCAAAGGACAAACAGCCGAATTTTAGCATTCGATACATTCTAGGTTGTTTCTATTCTAGCTTCTAAGCATCAAGCATAGGCATAAGCTGTTTTTGAAAGGCGGCCGTTTGATGTTGCCACTTCCAATGTGCTTTTTCAGAGCAAGCCTATTTGCCAAAACCCCCGGTGGCCAACTGGGAGGGCCAGGGTGGACTCACCGGACTCCTAGGGCAAGAAGCCGGCATCGACAACACATTCGAGAACTACCTGGTTAAGGAACTGCCAACGGTCCTTAGGTAAGCCCAACCCCATGAGAATCACTAAGACTACACTTAATTGTCATTAATCCCTATTTTCAGGGCCACCGGCCCACGCGCAGATATTGGCAGTTTTTTCAACTTGGTCGACAGTCTCCTTCGGGCCGGGAGTGGCAAGAAGAAATAAGCGGGACTCTCAAGAGCATCTCGTGCTTTTAATTATTTATTTATTGATGACTACACAGTTAAAGCTTTATTGAATAGTGCACAGAGAAGCATGAGAAGATTGGGTCCTGTTCTTTGAGATGGCTGTCGCGGATCGTTTCAGACTTTCGAAGCAAATTGAGCGGGGATCCAGCCGGTTCTAAACCGAATAATATTCGCGCATTACATTTTTGAAAAGTTAAAATCAATGAGTATGCTCATGGCACGTCTGCCGATCTGAACCATTACCTATTGCCGCTGGCGTCTTTGATAAAAATCCATCCTCGATTCCCCGATTTGATGAGGGTGACTCGGTCTCCTCGGACTACGGAGAGTTGATCGGGGCCGCTCGGGCTGTAATCCTCGTTTACCTCGAGGCTGACACCGTAATCCTGGGCCGAAAACGGCGACGGCACGACCACCGGAACTAAACAGCTTGGGTTTGGGCTTGAGCTATTCGGCAAAAATGGGCAGCGTTTTCGAAAACCAGTGAAAAATTCTGCCCAGATTCTGACAGGCCGGTTCCTAACACGAAACGCAACCTTTTTAAGATATGCTGTAACCCACGATACAGGCGCCCCAACCACCCCCCACCCCTTAGCCGGCTGCAAACTTGTCCGACTTTTACGATTTAGGTATCTATCGAAATCTCGCGGAAAGGCTAGTCCAGCGCGTCTTTCGGGTTGCAAAATTCCGAATTTTTTTGTTGGATTTTTAGCATAAAAAACCCGTGGTCAGAAGAACATCAGAAAATCCGCCCGTTTCTGCGCATGCTACCGGCTAGGGTAGCGGGATTTTTTGGGACGCACTGTATTCGATAAAGATCTTGAAACTCGGTTAATGTTTGATAACGCACCTGTTCGAGCCGCCGGTGTAGGCTTTGGATCGGCGGCATAGACGGGGAGTGGGCTAGGGTTCGTGGCAGCAGCCATTGGTGGGAACACTTGATATCCAAACTTTGGTGGTGCGCGCGCGACGGCTGGTTGAGGCTAAAAAAAGTCTTGACGAAATTAACCAGCGTCGCGGCCTAACGGCATAACCGATGATCGCATAAAGGAAAAAAGTTTACCTGCGCAACGTTCTGCGCTGGATGTAGCTGCAGTGCCGCCCTTGCGCGCTCCGGCGACGCCTCACGCGGTCGGAAATCATATGCCATGCTTTCGTGGCGACGCTCAGCCTGCGGCCATTCCTGGAACCGTTTCTTCAATGTGCCTGTATTGTCGCCCACCCGTTGTGGTAGGTATTCAATGTTTTCTTGAGCGATTTCGGCCAAACGATGCTCGTTCGACGGCACCTAAATGAGCAAACATCAACACCTGTTACTGGAGAATGATACCGTTTCTGTGGGATTGGTTTGCACCAGTTGCTTCTCACTAATGAGAGCAATCGAATTCTGGTCATCTTGCGTGGATAGCCGACTCCGAATCCCTTCGATGCTGCTAGCGCTGCTCACTTTGCTGCTCGCCGTCGATTTGCGATCAGACTGAATCTTAGATTTACCTCTGTTTTTTGACAAGGATGTGCTATGCTGCTTGGCTTCAATCGTACCTGTGTTCCGTTTACCTCAACAGCGACCAGCACGCTCGGAGCTGCGGGTTTTTCCTCCGGCTTCGTGGCTTCGGAGGTCTTGGTACTAGCGTGTATTCTGCTGCCTTCTTCTTCTCGGTTTGCCACTTCCTGACAGTATTCGATCAGATCGCCGTATCTAAGGACCGTCTATTAAACGTCGCCTTCCCTAACAAGGGAACCCCCGAGGTCGAGGTGGCGTTTCGTTATGGGACCTAGCCCATTTTGTGCAGAATTTTTTGCTGATTCCGAGTAACGCACTAATCAAATATACCATTCTAATCAGAAAAAAATTCTCTACAAGATAGGCTATTTAAAATGGATTGGCATAGTAAAACAAAATAGGCATTGTGATAGATGACCTCCCGCGGGCTCAAATATGATCTTAAAATCGCCGTAAATTTTTAAATCGGGTTGTTTGGCAAAAATTGAAAGCGGGTACGAAATCAGCCAAAAATTCTGCACAAAATAGGCTGGGTCCCAAAGCGCAACGTCACCTCGACCTTAGGTGGTTCCCTTGCAAGCTCTGTTCACATGCCTTTACTACATTTTTGAGGTCCAGTTGGGGTGGAAAGGTAAATAAATGCCCCGCGGAAAAACTCACGTCTTAAACCACTCTTCGTGCCGATCGAAGAAGAACTTGTAGCGCAGCTCTTGTTGTTTCACGAAATACTCGCGCTCCTTGGCGTAGAATTTTCCACTAGCCTCCGCCGACTAAAACTTGTTGCTGGGAAGTGATAACGTGCTTCGGTACCGGTTTGGTTTTTAAAAACTCCTTCTCGTCCTTGGCGAAACGGGAGGCCATTTCCTTCAGCACGTCCTTCTCGCCGGTGGAGAAGCGGTTAGTTTTGTTCGCGAACACTGAGAAATTGGCCACCTAAAATGGAAATATATCCCACGTCCCTTTTCTTCAACGTCCAGACGAAAAGCACACGAAAAAGCACAATGAAGTTGACTAACACTTCGTTCATGGTGTTGCATAGTGTCCCGGAACTGCTTGCTCGTTTCGAGAAGTTGCTTCCCATAGTTCTCAGCCGCTAAATATATGGATCTAGTTGGATCGTTCAAACCGTCGACATTACCAGGGCTTGCGCCTTTCGCCGAGCGCGCCAACTGGGCCAAGCTTGTACAGTAGGCGTCTGTGCTTCGTTGCAACGCTGCAAAGCATCGTTTATGCAATGGAAACAAGGATACCTTGAAATGCCCTCAATAACTCAGCGCCTGCCGCGCCCATCGATTTGACGGCTAAAATCCGGGGTAGATGTGATGATGAAGCTAGATTGGCGTACCGGGCAAAAATTGGTTGTTGAGTTGGTTCTGGACATCGGTAATTGCGGCGCGGTCCGCGTTCATCTTGGCTGCAAATACGTCTATAGATTGGAGACGGGCCAGGGTAACCGTGGAGTGTCTGCGCAGATCAAAAGAAAGGATATGGGATTTTACAAAGTTGTTACAGTTTCAAAGGCATACGTATCCGTATTCGGTATTTTTAATATTAATCTTTTAGTCAATTTTTTGGTAAGAGTTTACTTTACCCCCCCCCCCCCTAGGACAGCCGAAGGGTCTCAAGGTTTTCGGTATTTTCGCTTATTTTGTAGGGATTTTTGGAACGCGATTCGATAGAGCGTCTAAAAATATACTAAGACTTTTAATCAAAACCTACAATAAAGTAAAATAAAAAAGTTATAGCCAAATCATCCCCGCTGGGGGGGGTAAAGTAAAACGTAGCCAATCTCTTTCGTATCTTTGTACTTTTTGCAAAAGGTACAATGTTTTTGAAACTCTGCGAAAAGCTCGTCAAATCGAATCGCGAAAAAGTTATTTGTGCTTAGATTAACGATTCCATGATGTCTTTCAGCTGTGAGGTTGTCGGTTCGCAAATCCAACAAAAAAAATGCGCCACGCGCTCTTCGAATCGATAAAATTTATTGTCAGAATCGGTCATGGATGCAGGGCCACACGGAAAATACCCGAATTTTAGCACACGAGTGATAATGGGGGGAAGAGGGGCCAGCGGGGCTTGCCAACACAGGGCAATAGTTTATATTTTGGTAATGGGACGACCGTGATATTTCAAATTAAAGTTTTTCTTAATTTTAAGGTGCTGTGACTAGATCAAATCCAGTTTCCTTGGGTAACAATCACAGTTTTAGCTTTGCATCTTCTTGAATTCCAATTTTGAACCTCTGGAAGTCGGCGAAAATCGTTACTTATGTTGCGTGGGGCAAAAAAATTGGAGCTAGGCAAAAATAAGCGCATCGACAATGGGATCGGAAACTGGAGCAAGTGGATGACGTGTCGTAGGGGGTCTACAACGCCCGAATGGCCGGCTTCGTCTTATCGCCAACGAAGAGCCGCTTCAGCGCAATCTGATAGTCGCGGTTAAACACCTGAAATTTCCACTTTTCGACAGCACATTCCTTTCCTCCCACACACGGCAATGGGCGGCGATTGAGGACCAATTGGCTAATAACCAAGTGCTTTTTAAATATTTGGGGAAATCGGTTTATAAAATTTGGCGCAGTATATTATTTTGGATTATTTTGGAATCATCTTAAAATATTTTCCGATTATAGTTGGAACTCAATTAAAAAGCGCAAGAAATTGACAGTTTTATGCCAAAACACTTTTACAAAATAAATGTTTAAAAAGCTGTTGTTTTAAACAGTAAAAAACTTCAAAAGAGCTAAGTGGATGTGGCGATCACTAACATTGTTTTTCGTGTTTGATGTCTCGATGGGCTCAATCGATAGAGCATCAATAGGTATATGCAAAACGCTGTTTGTGCTCGAATGATTAAAGCATACAGCGATGTGACACTATGTTCCCGGGTGACCAGCCAAATACCATTCCGGTGACTCACCGTGTAGATAATGGGATTCATTGCGGAATTCGAGTAACCAAGCCAGGTGATGAACATTTCGATGTGCGGGTTCACGTGGCAATTCTCCCGACAGAACTGCACGACTATGTACATTCTGAAAATTTCGTTGATGATATCTTGCAGATTCTTCATGACCCACATGAAAAACGGCGTCCAGCAAATCGTAAAGCAGCCGAGGATGATGCCGAGTACTTTGACACCACGCCGCTCCTTGGCCGCAGATATGGCCTTCGGCTTTCGTTGCAAGGATTTTCGGTACATTCGTTCTTTTCTGAAAATACGTTGTTTACAGTTGAAGCTGACCGTCGAAATGCCTAGCCGTATACAGGGTAGCCCAATAAAAAGCACCCCTCTGGCATTTGGCCGTATTACATCCGATCGGTCCCAAATTTGGGCCAGAGGTGCATTATACACTAAATCAGACAATCCTAAGTTATAGCCCGTCACCCACAGTAATTTTTGAGATACAATAAAAGTAAACTTTATAATGTGTTTCCACAGGGTTTTCGTCGGAGTAGGCCCTAAGAATATTTAGTGAAAATGATGCGGGAAGGCTGCTTTCCCCCTAGGAATCTTTTTCTGACTAATTAAACGCTTATTTAAACAGTTTTTACAAACGAAAATTAACCGGACCTTGAGCGAAATGAGGGATTCCGAGCGGGAAGTCAATGCAATTCGAGGCAAAGTCCATAAGAATAGCCGAAAAACTGGTAAAAATCGCATAGAAAACAGTATTTTGGCTATAACTCCAGAACTACTGTAGCGATTGGGCTATAACTCAGGATTGTGGTTAGTTAGGGTCTGTTACTTAGGTCTGATACTCGTAATCAGCACCACGACTTCCGGGGTGTCGTCGGTGACCCACCGTATCTTGTGCCGCTTCACTTTCTCATAGCTGATCATAACAACACTCTTGACCGGCTTGGCCTCCAGCTTCTTCTTTCGATCGGATATGGGCGGCAGGCTACGAGCCATGGTTACTTCTTTCTAAATTCATCAGATATTAGATGTTTGCATTATATGTCACCTTTCCAGGTAATGTAGGCGTGACCGACGATCCGGCGGTTGTGTGTTGCGTCTCGTCACTTCGTTCGTCCCGACCGCTACTTTCCGCCTCCATCTTAATTGGTTAGATGTGGGCTGATGGTTTTTTGGGTACCTCATCCTCCTCCGGAATTGCATCGTTATTGCCCAGACCATTCTCCACTGCTCCCGAGCTCGAGCCTAAGAAAAATATAGGGCGTTAGTAGGCTCCGGTTAAAGCTTCGGCTTTTGCCGCTTAAGCAAGTTTCTATATAGCCAATGGAGCCATAAAAAAGCACGTAATTTTTTAGCTTACTATCATCTTCGTCTTCCTCCTCTTCCTTCGCAAACTCATCCGACGTAGGGAGCACGTGCGATATTTCATGAAGTATCGTCGACTCGATGTGTTTACGGATGACCTGAAATGGGCCCCTGCTCTCCCATTGGCTGCCGAATGCCAGAAACACATCTCCAAGGCGGCGATAGAACACAGGACGCGAGACGGACTCCCTACACGACGTACCGTGCAGACACCATTTTCATTTTTCCTTCTAGTTACATGAAATTCTTTTGACTGCCCTAATTTGTCAGAATTAGGAATCTGAATTCCTGCTCGGTGGAAACCAGTTTTGTTAGAAAAGCGCTTCGAAAATGGCGAGTTTCGGAACTTGTCACACTACAAGCTTGAACGACCGGCGCTTTGCTTCCGGATAACCTGATAGTTTCGATTTTTTTATTGAAGGGAACGCGCAAGCATAAAGTAATTTGTTACTTCAAACCTAGAAATTTTCCATATTTCGCGGATTTTGCGCGTCAAACAGCCATGATCAACATCCCAACGCACTAATGAGGACTTAGGCCGCTTGGGACTTTGAAGTAAGCCTAAGCCTAATCATAAGCCTACACTCTGCGGCCTACACGATCCCTTCAACTCAAAAATTCCTCGCTTTTCTCAGACATCCGGAAAGCAAGACGCGAAGCCGCACAGTTTCCAATCTACACAACAGTTTTTGTGTTAATTTCTTGTTAGTCCGTCCGTGCATGAAATTGCTCAAACCCTCACAGCTTGGTAGATGACCTGGATGGGAAGGAAATGGGAATGTGGATTAGATTTGGATTGAGATTAGTAAAGGGTATGGTCTTGTCTGCATTCCGTCGGCGCTGTTTAAATTTTTGTTTTCTCATTTGAAGATGTTTAGAATCGACCACTGCATCGACCGGTCATCGGCAGCTTAGGCTTAGGGTGCCAATTCTGTCTCCTCCTCGTTCCCTGAAGAATAAACGCGGCCGACGGAACACACAACTACCGAAAGACTAACCGAGCAGCAAGCGAAACAAACAAACAAAAAGAGTTTTGTTAGAGAAAGGAAAGTAGGAAACGACTCCGGCTCCCGAGGCTGGAAAGGTCGAGACGGTATTGTAAACGGACACCGACTTGTTCTATAAGGTCCCACACTTTGTTGGTTGTGCTATTGCGATGAAGTATGCGCTCGGAATTGCTTTCTGACGGACCCCTTTTTTCATCAACTACGGGGTGTCCCAAAACACCCGCCCCTCGGCATTTGGCCTTCTTCTATCGGATCGAGACCACAACTTTACCCGCGATTTGTATCCAGAACAACTATGTGCAGCCGACTCCTAAGTATATGGTAAAACAAAAAAGTTACCGCTAAAAAACTGATTTTTGGGAAACGCTGGTACTCATGTTTTCGTAATTAGCATGCCGATTTTAAACCATTCGCCGAAAATGATCATTTTTGGGTCGTTTTCTGCCGATTTTGATAATAAAAAGTGATCAAAAGCCCAATTTAGACGTAATTTTTGTAAATCAAAAATTCTCCGTGGCGGAAAAGGCGAGATCTTCATTTTTGCTAAAGCTTACGAGGCCGAAATCCGCCTGAATCCTAGTGAATTCGTCAAAATAAACCTTCGTTTTGCTATAACTTTTTTCTTTTATAACATGTTGCTTAGCAAATTTGGCAGCACATAGCCTTAATTTTTCCAAATTGCTGATAATAATCTGATCCCAATCCGATGGAAGACACGGCCAAATGCCCAGGGGCGGTTTGTTTTGAGATGTATAATAATGAAACATTAACATGAAATGACATTAACAAACAACATGAATAATACGCCCTGTATAATGAAATTTTCGACGCGCATGTCAGAAAGGGCTCCAACCAAATGTCGATAAATCGGAGAACCTCTCCGGCCATCGGGAATGCCGGCGCGAAACGGATGAAGCAACAAATGGAGAGACAGTGGAAAAGTGCCCAGCGTGCGACATTCAGAGAAAGACCCTTACTTGCGTCGAAACGGCGAGCTAAAAAAACGGCATTGAGTCGGGTGGAGAAGAGCAACGATTGATTATCTCGTCTTCTTTGATATGTCCAGTTTGGATTTTTTCAAGAAATTAAGCTATAGAAAGACGAGGCCATGTCCCGGT